CATGTATCATGTATTTGAATGCTGCCAAAGTAAATATGTCAGTGACATTTTGTAGTCGAAAAAGTAATTTATTATTTAGTAAAATTATGTAACGGAAACTTAAAAAATTCTTTAATTAAAGACTTGAAACAAAAAATAGTATACCAATAAAACTCGGTGGCGAAAGCTTATTAATTGCTTCGCGCACAATCTACTGTAAAATGTAAGCTCGGCGATAATAATATTAAAGCACATATTATGTACTTTCTCCGCCTGGTCTATAATGTAATATTTTTTAAGGGTACAATAATTTTCATATAAGGTACACTCATAAGTCTATAGAAAAACTTGTTTTTTCGCGAATTAACTTATGTAACGAGGCTTCGCGACGGTCTATTCTATCTACCTCATGAAGTGGCTGGCATATCAATATCTTCTATATATAGAATCTCAAAATATTATGTCGATATTAATTACGCTCATACTGTACTATACTATAGTTCAAAAGTTAAATTATTATTTATAGTTCAAGAGTTAATGCACTATTTAACTCTGTGCTGAAATAAAGCTAAAATGTAATCCATTCAGTTGAACCTATCTAACAAGCATTTAAATAATTTTTAAAACAGAGCAGAAAAACAAGAATGAGCGTAATTAACATCGACATAATGTTTTGGGATTTTATTTATGGAAGATACTGATATGCCAGCCACTTTATGAGGTAGATAGAATAAAACGCCTCGTTACCAGAGCTGGCCAAGTACTAAATACTTTTACTCGTATTTCAATTACGAGTAAAAAAGAACGAGTACTTTTTTACTCATAAGTATTTTTCATTTGAAATACTTATTACTCGTACTTACAAACCAAATTCAATGTACTCATAAAAAATACTCGTGGAATTTACGAGTAATATATACGAGTATTTCCGTTTATTATATCGATGACTTTTTGCCAAAATATCAAAACATTTTGTTTGGAAGTCTGTTTTAAATTATATAATATATAGTATAATATTATAATATATTATAGCCTATAGGTTTTATAACAAGTAAATAGGTAAAATTATAAACTATTTAAGAATTGTTATGATTTTATGTACATAATGTTTAAAATAAATAATTTTATAAATTTGTATTTGTATTTTTATAGCTCAGGACCAAAGTATGTATAATGTACACTCTCTAAAAATGAATTAGTGGAAAATGACTTACCACAGTTATTGGTGGAAATTAGTGAAAATACCGTCAAAAATTATGAAAGTGGAGCAGTTTTTGAGATATAGTCAATTCCATATTATATGGAAAATGGAATATATCTCAAAAACTATTCTACTTTTCTAACTTTTGACGACATTTTCGGATTCAGGGAACAATTTTACATGGAAATTGACTGCTAAATGTTAAAAATACAAATTACTATTGCCGAGAATTATTAGTGGCTGCTTTTTCGCTATGACAATTAGTCATTCTTGACTAATCCATTTTTAAAGAGTAAAGAATAATCAATTATATTAACTAATATTTTTTTTCTAAAGTACTCGTACTCCCTACTCGTGTTTTCAGGATTACTAATCGTAAACCCTAACCTCTCTTTACAAATGTACTTAGTAGTAAAGTACTTACGAGTAAATATTTTAAGTACTCGTACTTAAAATTTTACGAATACTTTTTTTAGTACTCGTGCCCAGCTCTGCTCGTTACATAAGTAATTCGCGAAAAAACATTTTTTTTTAAATGTTGTGAGCTAGGCCACTTCGTGATAAGACCGACTATAATATGTACTATAGTATATATGTAGGTACTATAGTATAACTCATATTTAGGGGCTACGAAACTTACACTTTGAGAAACGCTCAACATTTCTTTTATATTGTTTTTAAGTGTTGGTATCTCTATAACTAAAAATTAAATTAATATAATATATTATTTTTATATATCTAAGGCAGTGGTGGGTTGTGGATTTTGGGTATACCGATATCTCAGTTAGTAGACATGGGACCCACACCCAATTTATAATAGTTTATAATGACATTAAATAGACAAGTTCGGCGCAAACAGAATTTAAATTGAAGTTTGCGAAAAAAAGTTAGTTTTTCCTGTCGCCTCACCCGCCTTCAGGCCCCCTATTAAATATACAAGTTCTGAGCAAGCAGTAAATCTAAGAATTACAGATTTATTATTTTAACTAAAATTAAAAAAAATTAAAAATGGTATAAAATCTGTGTGTCTTGGATTTTTAAAATAAATTTTGAAATTTGTTGATAAAATTTAGTGAATTATGAATTGCAGCACTTAATTTGGATAATCTTAATTAGGGGTGGCAGGGAGCCAGTGAGGCGCGCTGAAAAACTAACTTTTTTCGCAAACTTCAATTTAAATTCTGCTTGCGCAGAACTTGTCTATTTAGTGTCATTATAAACTCATATAAGTTTTGTATGGGTCCCATGTCTACTAACTGAGATATCGGTATACCCAAAATCCACAATCCGCAAATTATTCATAATATTTATACAAACCTACGGGTTGTTTTATGAGTTGTGAATGAAAATTATTGCGTGAGGTAACAAAACGCGTTTTTTTTTACTTTTGGGTTATTTCTAAAAAACCCATCGTAAGGGAGAAATTTAAATATTATTATTGTTAAAATATAGCATAGGATGTGGATAATCATATATATATGTAGTTACCCATAATGTTTTTAAAACATGTTACACACCCACCTGCATAGATATTCGTAATGCAGACAGAGGAAGCACATTGATTTTAAACGCATTAAATTATTCAAAATTGTTTCATTGTAGTCAATTAAATGACCAAAAACAATTGCAACCGTTCCCAAGGTTAATGTTAATTAATGCTTTTCATTAGTATTAAATCAAGAAAAATGTTTTTCGCAATATATAAAAATTCTTATTTATGGATTAATGTTAAATAAAGGTCTTGGTTATGTCTGGAGTTTCGTAAAAGTTAAGTTTTGCATTTTTTGAATTGTAAATTTTGTAAGTATAGCACAAAAATTTAACCTCCACCCCAAAACTTAAAATTACAATATTGCATTAAAGGAAGTCGATATTTACTTCCTAGAGCATTTTATTCTAGACAATGTTTTTCAATCTTAAAAATGCTACGAGCCATGCCCGGATGCTACGTTTGTTTTTCGTTGTTTTTGCTCTAACTGTACTTGTAAACGCAGCGAAGAAACGTACTAATTAAATGTTTGGTTGTCCTAGTCAAATTCACGCGCTATACGCACAGAATGTCTAGGACAGGCATATTAAAAAAAGACTTGGTATAGAAAAAGACGAAAAATGCGCGTTACAGTGGCGTGGCTTCTTTTATGATTTTAAATATATTACAAAAAATATCACCCAATATTTTAATATTAAATATTGTTTTAATAAATAATATAATTATTTAAATATTTATTATTAGTTAAGTAATAATATTGCTAATTTTTTTTTGCGATTTCCATCATAATTTGACAATTTTGATTTTTGAAGTTTTTATTATAAAAATAACTTTATTATTATTCGGTGTTAAAAATTATACATAATATATTATATTAAATAAATTTATATGATAGACCAGTTAATGGAGGTTATGTATTACTTAACTTACTCCTAGATGATCTGTTAGATCTATATATCAATATTTGCTATTCCGTTAAACAAAAAAAATTGTAAATATTTACGTTTATTTCGTATTTGCAAAATAATTTTTATCTATAATATATTTACAAATTCCATCGTAGTAAATAAAAATATATTGTAGTATGATAGTGCTTGATGCCTGATAGATAGTAGGCAGTGTTTAAATTCATAAAATCTATGCACGCCAATGTCTAATAGAACTAGACAAGCCGAAATTTCGGCCCTACGCTACATAGGCATGCACCTTACCCCGCACGTTTCCGAAAAATCGTCCCCACCACTTTCAACTCACACCCACCCCCTCGGCCCGTGGTTTGCGTAGAATCACCCCCACTAAAAGTGCATGGTTTCGTGAAACGTTTTTCAGAAATCTTCGACGCGTTTTGACGAAAACTTCTGTATAGTGCGTAGACCGGAGAGTGCGTAACGCATTGCACTTCCACCGAAATTTTTATACTTACTCAGTCCGCAACTGCAGAGCAAATAGTGCAGTGCAAATGTATCTATAGACTGTTTGTGTTTTTTTGTTGGAATTTAACTTGCGTAAGTCTACAATTTTTTTGCAAATTTATGAACATTTACCTATTTGTCATTTTATATATTTAAAAAAATAATTTTATTTAATTTTTTTAATTATTTTAGTATGTATGTTTTTTTATTAAAAATTATTATGTAAAATATTTGTTTTGGTATACTTATTTATTAGCAAGATTAATAAGATCAAATTAAAATGATAATAACCAAATAATAATACATTAATATACAATACACAAAATCCATCTGTTTTTTGACATATATTTTTAAACGAAGGTAACCCCTCTCGAACGCATACTGAGAAGGGGGTGAGTTGCGCTGACCAATGGGAGGGCGTATCCAGAAACGGGACAGGGTTGTTATTACTTTGGCACTGTTTACTATCATAAAGACACGGCGCTCGTGATAGTGCGCTTCTCTATTTTTAGTTGCGACGAGGGTTCATGTTCGACTTGGTGCGTTTTAAATTTCTGTGCAATAATAATACAGTTATATTGAAAGTTTAATGTTATCAAGTTTGAGTAGACTTTAGAATGTTGTTTGAGTAAATTTTACTAATTGTTCTTGATTCTTGCAAATCCTGTAAACTGTGTAGATATTGATAACCTTGATACCAAATTGCCTTACTACGTCAACAAAATTAAATAGTTTTTTAATCGCTTCTTTAAAAAACAATTAGCAAGTTTGGCTACAAAATTTCCCAAAACCAAAGAAACTGCGTCGTAATTACTTTTCTATTATTTATGGTTACTTGTTTTTGTAATGTTTTTGCGTTTAAAAATAGGTAATAAAGAAATAATAACATAAATATTGATTGGATCTTTTCTTGTTTCAGTAAATTTAGGAGCTTTTCAAAATGAGTGCCGCGCAGCAATATTGTTTGCGTTGGAACAATCATCGTTCAAATTTATTAACAGTGTTTGACGAACTTCTGCAAAATGAAGCCTTTACGGACGTAACTTTGGCATGTGAAGGAGGTGGCCCTATTAAGTGTCATAGGATGGTTTTGGCAGCATGTTCTCCTTATTTTCAAAATATATTTACCGATTTGCCTTGCAAACACCCTGTAGTGGTGTTAAAAGACGTTAAGTATTGTGAAATTAAAGCCATATTAGAGTACATGTACAGAGGAGAAGTAAATGTTGCTCAGGATCAGTTAGCTGCTTTACTTAAGGTGGCTGAAGCCCTTAAAGTAAAAGGTCTCGTAGAAGAAAATAGGAATAGAGACAGAGAGGATGATCACTTAGAACATTCACCTTCTATAACCACATCCAATTCTGTTATGCAAAATGCAGTTCACAGTAGCAGTAATAACTCGCCTCCCCATTCGACTAATTCGATCTACAAGAATCCATACAGTATATACAGCAACAAATCCAACTCTGAACATTCTCCTAGAATGCCCAATATTCCTCTTTGGGCTGTACCCGGACTACCATTACCTCCCCATTCATCCTCAGTACCTTCTTCGAGCCATCCTCACGCTGCAACTGCAGCTGCTGCCATGCTGAGCGGTTGCTATGAAGTAGCTTCTTCTGATATGTCACCTTTAAAAAGAAAGAAGCTTTCAAGTTTACTGATGAACAGAGACACCCCCATACTTAGAACGGTTTTGGGTCAGGGAAACGCTGATTCCTCTCAACCTGTTAGCTTGGTTTGCCATCCTGATAGCAACGAACACCATACTAACGGCAATGATGACCGTGAAAGAATTAAGGTGTGTTTAAACCTATCTTGTAAATTAATTTGTATACTAATTTTACTATTGTTTTAGCACATGAAAAATGAACCATCTGAAGATGCTCAATCGCCTTACACCGATTTTACTCATATGAGTGAAGAAGAAGAAAAATCCAAACTTGCAGTTCCGTCATCCTCGCCACAGTCATTTACACATGAAATGAGAGGAGTTTCTACTGGTATTGCAACATACGTGCCCACGCAAAAACCAGAATGGAAGAGATACAAACAATATACGAGAAACGATATAATGTCTGCAATTGAAGCAGTACGCAATGGAATGTCCGCCTTACAAGCTGCGAGAAAGTATGGTGTTCCTTCAAGAACTCTGTATGATAAGGTTAAGAAGCTGGGCATAACTACTAGTAGACCTTTCAAAAGGGGTTCCAATGGAAGTTCAGCATGTTTCCCGTATAGTACTGGCTCTCCTTATGGTGGACACATGTCCGAAAGCGATGAGGGAATGATGAACAACAACTCTGCCTTGTTGGAAGCTAGTACTTTCTTGCAACACGCTTTAGATTCTAGAGGCGGAGACGAAAGAGAAGCGTTAGCTGCAATGGCTGCTGCGGCTGCTGCCCATGCTGTAGCATCAGGAAACTCTACAAGTCCGAATAATTACGGAAGAGCTCGATCTCCAAGTCCTAGTCCAACTATGATGAAGTATCGTCAAAGTAGTTTGACGCCATCCCCGGCACCAGGGAGCGATCATCATCACAGCGAAACTAACGGAAGCTCCGAAAGAGATCACGAAGAAGATGATCAGGTGGAAGATCTTTCAACAAAAAGAAAACAAGAAACAAGGGTAATAATGCCCCCTATAAACCAAGTATCAGCTATAATTAAAAAAGAAGAGATGCTTATGGAAATCATTAAAGATGAAGCGCGGCGAGAGGTAAGCCTAGAGGAGGCCGATTAAATATATAATTAATTTAAAGTAATTCAAATGAACTGCTGACATAGTTTTAATACCGGTGTTAAGTTTTATCCTATATATTTTATATTTTACATTGAAATTCGAATGCATCTTGACTGATCAGTGCAATATCTAAACTGTGGTCCTTCACCCACCCGTACTCAAACATAGTTTTAAGGTTTTTATAGTTTTTAAGATGACCATTTTCGAGTGCCTATCAATTATGTACATAAACAAAAGCGTCTATTTCTTTTTAATAAATCAACATTTTCCCAATTTTTTTATCCACAGATTAATTAACACATTTAATTAAGTAATGTTCAACTTTTTAATTTTAATTAAGTACATATGAAAAACGCGTTTATTGTATAAATGACCAAGCTCACAGTAGTTTGCTACAAGTTCCTTATGCGCAAGGAATGTTAACTCAAAAGACTGATTAAATAATTATTTCACTTATCGATGAGACTGACAAATGGCAAATTATTTTTGGTCAGGTACATATTGATCTGAAGGCGTTAAGTTTGAAGAAATATGTAAATATTAATATTTAGCTATTGCTGAGGGGCGTAAATCCTAAAATTAGGGGATTAAAGGATGAACGGTGTATTTTTGTTGTATTTTTTATGGCACTGTATTCATTCAGGACCTCTTTAACTTGAATTTAAAAATGTTATCTATGTGATTATAATTATTGTGGTTTTGGGATTAACATGAATAGATTAGGTAAAATGTAAGATATTATGTAAATTTAATTGCATTGCTAAAAAGTTTCTTATTAGAGTGTATTTGTTAATGCACTAAATATGATTGCACCTTAAGGGTACAATGAGTACACAAACACTTCAAAGAAACGTTTAAAAACAAAATTAAAAGATTTTGCTTACATAGTGAGTTAATTTTGTTTTTGAGACATTTTTATATTTCTGTAGTACCTTTTGCACTATGCCATAAAATGATTTATAACAAATCAAATTGACACAATAGATAACTTTGTACATAGATGCATACAATATGAGTGCCAGTTTGTTTTGCTTATTGAACCATTTAATAGCTGTGATTGCCTAGACTGAATACATCACTGGTTCACAAAAGTTGAAAATTTTGCTGATAAAGAGATGGTACGACTGACAAGGTCTAGTCCATATTTATTGAATTGCAGCTCATTAAGTGCAATTTATATTGCAAATGTTACAATTTAGGAGCAACCAAGCAAAAGCCTCTAAATTCACTTTTATGAATTCCTGGCAAATCGGCAAAAACCTGTGCCGCAAAATCCTTAGCAGATTTTAAAAATATTGTTGCACCAAATTTTTAATGGTATTTGTTTAGTTCTGACTTTACTAATGGATAAATCGCACCCTAATCATGTTAAAACGATGACTTACTCAAAAATGACCAGTATTTAGAGGGTTTTGCCCCGTCGCTCCTCAATTATTTAAAAAAATGTATTTTGCATTAAAATAAATTACGTTACTGTTGGATTATTTTATAAAATACATTTTAACTTATTATTTATTCCTAATAACTTATATCTAAAGACTGAATAGTTTATTTTTAACACAAACAATTCGGACCAAATTTTTAATGGAACATGCCTTTTTAGTAACTTCAAATACTTCTTTAAATTACTACATTCCATTAGGTTTTATTTTTTTTAATTTTCAAATTTCTAGCTAATTTTACGTGACGAAATAATTGTTGTGTTAATTTTTGCCATTTTATTTAAGACTGAATATTATTTGTTAATCGTTAATCAAGAGTATTGGTATGTATGATTGTTATAATTTAGTATATTTACAGATCTCTATTGGGCACTAGATATTGAAATCATATATTAAAATTAGTTAATGTTTATTTAAAATTAAGCTTAATTTAATATTTTATTAAATACTTTGCCCAGTATACCCTTACAAACTACCTCATACAAAACCTACAATTTTTATTTACCCATGTATATAGCAGATGATTTATCTATATCACATATTATATTCTATTACCATATCAAAATGTGTGTTCATAATTTATTTTATTTAGTATGTAAATTATAAAATGTACTATTAAAATAAATATTTCTATAATTTCTTTTATTGTAATATGTTAATTGTTAGATATAATTATATATCACCTTGCACGTATGTAATGCATAATTTTAAGAAAATAAAATTTATATTCAATTATATCAGTGTTTCACCCTATTTAAAACCTATAGGTACTATTATAATTGAAGGGGTTAGAATAGAAAGGGTATAAGTGCAATTTCTTTAATTTAGGAGATAAGTTCGTTTTGTGAAAGATAAGGTTCAGACGTATCAAAATGAAAAGGATTTAAGTAATTTTCATACTTCTAGCGACCTCTATTATCCAGTAGAAAAACATTACCAAACAAAATTCTTCACTTTTTTTATGGTAACATAACTTTAACTTCAAATATCTCCAAACAATGAAAATGTTACTTATACCCTTTTTATTCTAACCCCTTCAATTATTACTGTAGGTAAATTTCAAAATTTTGAAAAAACGCCGGGGCTAATTGTTGGGTGTAGAATTCAGTAGTGTAATCAGTTTTTCAAAGTTAGCTCGTTTTCTTAAGATATTTAATATTTAAGTTTGTAAATTTTTTGGTTTATTATTTGTTTATATTTTTAGAAATACCAAAAAGACACAAAAAATGACGGGACATTTAAAACTGAATTTTTGTGTGTAGAATTCAGTGGTGCAATCCGGTTTTTTAAGTTAGCTTGTTTTCCCAAGATATTAAATATTTAAGTTTTTTTTTCACCATTTTGCTATATTTTTAATTAATTACTCAAGAACACTTGGACACCTTTAATTCCACTCGAAAGAATTACCTATGTTGCCAGATCTTCATATTAAACTGGGCATTGTAAAGAATTGTATAAAACGTTTAGTGCGCGTAGATGAAAATGCCATGGGATATCTGAAAAACACAGCATTCCCCAAAATTTCAATCCAAAAGATTCAAGAAGGTAATTTTAAAATATTTAACTTTACTTTAAATCATTTTTCTAGGTGTACTTAACGGCCCTGATATCCGAAAACTTCTAAAATACGACAGTTTTAACGAAATTTTGAGTGAACCAGCTTAATGCTTAAATGCATGGGAGTCGGTTCGTGCGGTGATCAAAAATGTGCTATGCAAAAATCGCTTCAGGTCATTTGTTGTATTCGACGTGCAAATGTCTTTAAAAATAAATATTTTGCATGCTCATTTTGATTTTTATGAAAAACAACTTTCAACCAAGACATTTGATTTTTAAATGAGGCTTGTTTTTGTAAATACTTCTTAATTAACTTAATTTTAATAGCTTTTTACCTTAAAAATGTTTATTATTTATAAATAAAAATAAATATAAAAATAAATAAAGACATTTCGTCACCTGAGAATTATAGTGTTCTATCTGCATTTTTTTTTAAATTGAGGTTAGTCTTGTTTTAAGTCTTAAAGATGCATATTGTTTTATCTATACAAGGTGTCCCGTATCATTATGTTCAAATTTTGGGAGCATAAAGTAGACTTATTTTTAGGAAGAAAACCCGCAAAGTTGTATATCCATTTTTATTTGTTTCAAAGTTACGCCTGAATTTGAATTATTGGTAAATAATTAATAATCCTAATTCATTCTTAAAGTAAATAAAAAATGATTTTATTTAAGAAAAGGTCAATTAATATTATTTTTAAAATGTCCACCTCCTTGTTGCATGCAGGCTTGTGCCCGTAAGCCAACAGATAAAATAGTTATCCGTATTTGGTGCTTGTTTTGTCGTAATTGTTTGGCAGCCTGCTGAATACGTTCCAATAATTATTCTCTTGTATTTGAAACTTGGGCGTAGTTTAAACCTTTCATGTACCCTCATAAATAAAAATCAAGGGAATTGTGATCGGGTGATCTAGGTGGCCAGGCAACAAAACCACCTTGACCAATCCATCTTGGATAGTTGACAGTAACCCAATTTCGCACAGCAATTCCGAAATGTGGTGGCGACAGTCACGGCTTAATTTTAATTTCTGCAGAACAGTCGTCTGGACAGATGAAACTACATTTACAAGGAGAAACTTGCATAATTATTTGCCAATAATTCAAAGGCCTGTAACTTTGAAACAAATAAAAATTGATATACCCTACCTACAAGTTTTGCTGGTTTTCTTCCTGAAAATAAGTCTACTTTATGCTCTCAAAATTTGAACATAACGATACGGGACACCTTGTATATAATTGGGGTAGAAATTGTACAGTTTAAGCCTGAAACTGTGCAATTTCTACCCCAATTATATATAGATAGAACAATATACAGAGGCGTAGCTAGGTAAGTAAAGGCCCTGGTGCCAAAAAAAATTGGGACCCTAACTAAACTGTTTAGGTTATATCAAGTCAAAATATAAATATATATAAATACTTTAAAGGTATAAAGCTACTAGTTTATCATCAGCTCTTTATCGTGCACTGCATGGCACAACAAAACTACTTACTACATTTATGTATGTGCATAAGTGTCTTGTGTAAGCTTTAGTCATCGCTTAGGTTTTACAGGTGAAGAGTATGTACAGGGCCGGCTTAAGGCAATTGAGCGCCTTAGGTACTTAAAAATTTGGCGCCTATTATTACATACTACACTTAAGGGGCCCTAGGCAAATAAATATAGTTACGTATTATATCACCTCCAACACTGAGAAAAAAGGTAAATTCGAACAAATGCATTTAATTATAATAAAATTATTATTAGGGTAGGTTCAGTACCTACCCAAATAATAATTTCAGTACCTACCCTAATAATAATTTAGCAGAGTCTCTGCTGCAGAGATATAAAATTTAAAAATGCATATTATGCAAGTATAATTTTAGTTTTTACTAAAAACTTTTTAGGGTCCTAAAGTTTTATTAAAGATGTACTAAAATAGTAAGTATTTAAAAAAATGTAAAACAACTTTAATTCCCTAAATTTCTTTGTAAGATGTAGGTTTACTAAATGTTTAATATTAACATTTCATAAATAGGTAGGTACCTTAAAACATATAGCAAATTTACACTATCGAAGACAAACAGCTATCTAACATAACTACCTAACTACTGATTAATTTCATCTGAAATAAATTTGTGTAGGGCATAAAAACAGAAGCGAATTTCTTTCGGAACGCGCTTCAGTGCGGCACACGCTTAAAGAGCGGCACGCCTTTGTCGGCTTGACACCGCGTTTTTTAAAAATGATTATTTGGTACTCTACCGTACCTACTCATAATTGTATATTGTTTATTTGTTTCATATTTGTAAAAGCATTTTTTAAATTTTTTAAGTTGGTTGGGGACAAGGCGCCTATTTCTTCTTGGCGCCTAAGGCAATTGCCTATACTGCCTAATGGTTAATATGGCCCTGAGTATGTAGGTATACTTGGATTAAT